CTGGCGGCAGCCGGACTCAGCGCTCACGAAGCATCAGGCAGTGGCCACAGCCACTGCACTCCCTGCCTCGGAGTCGGGGGGCTCTCCCGAGAAATATGTCCTCATGTGCTGGCACGTCCACGCTCTCAGGGGGTCCTACACTCCCTGAATGCAATTCATGGATAATGCTCACAGCTTCTGTGGAGCATTTGCTTTACATCTTTACACTTTTTAGAACTTGATACCAATCCACTTTCATTCTCACATCTCCACGAAGTACATACGCTCTGTTGTTATGTCCATGTCACAGATGAGGAAACTGAGGCAACGAGAAGGCACACAGTGGGCAGCAGAGTGGGGCCAGACCCCGGACAGTGCAGCACTAGGCTCCTTGTTCTCAAACCACCACCCTGGACTCACCTGGATCCAGCAGAAGCTCCAGGGAAGCAACCCCAGACCTTGGCTTTTCTCTCTCCCAGATGGATGCCCAGAAGCCCCAGAACACTCTGGGACCCCGGGGCACCACACTCCAACCACGGCCCACAGGCCATTCACCGTCCCCTGGACTTGCCCTGCAGAGGCCAACAGGGCCAAGCTTGGAGCCGCAGGACAAGATGTGACTTCTTTCATGAAACATCCCAGGTCAATAACCACATTGCAAGCCCACCCATCACTCTAACTGGCAAACAAACTACTGGTCCAAAATTGGGCTCTTGGGATCACACTGGCCTGCTCCGCAGCCTGGAAGGGGAAGGGGCCACTCACCAACTCTTCAGCACCCAGACACCAAGCACAGGGACAAGGGAGCAGCCCAGCAGCAGCTGGAGGAAAAGACGTTTAGTGGGTCCCCTGCTATCTCCCAGCTCCTAAACGCTGTCACTGACACACTGCACTCAGAGTCAACTACCAGGTATCGCCCTGTGCCCAGTGCCAGGGAGGGAGAGGACAGCGTGAGCTATGGGATCCCCACTGGTGCAGGGCAGCCCAGTCAGTGCTGCTGCTCACGGGAGGGGGGGAAGCCAGGCCTGAGAGGGACCAGGGAGGGCTGCGATGACAGCAATCTGGGCCAGAGAAGCCACAGAGGCGCACACACATGTGCCAAAGTGCAGCAGCCACGCACCCCTCACTCCTGAGACCAGAACCACCAAGTGAAACTCCACCCCTGACTCAGGCTCTGGGGCCAAGTAAGCTGTGGCTGCATTGCTGCCTTTCCCCTTCGCCACAGCGACACGGCGCCCGCACACAGCGTGCAGCAGGCAGGGAGGCATCACTGTTCATCTCCGCTCTCAGCACTGGCCAGAGTGATGGGGGGGAAGGGTCACGACATCTTCCACTTACTCTCAAATGGTTCAGAAAACAACCACGTGTGCACCTGCATATATACACATGTGCACATGTACACACATGCCCTCAGGGCGGGGAGAGTGGGGGTAAGGCAGATGAGGCAATATGCTAACAGGGAGGTCTGGGCAGAGGATGCGCAGGGCTCTTTGCACTAATTTTCTCCCTGCAACTCTTCTGTAAGTATGAAACCATTCCCCAGCAAAATATTTCTTTATAAAAAAAAAAAAAGAACAATTCATTAGCTAGTGAGATTGGAAAGTCTATTATGCTACTTTCCAAGTAAAAAGAATCCAGGTGTTAGGCCCAAAGCCCCATCTGTCACCAGGACAAACTCGGCAGTGCTGTGGGTTGGGGCTGAGCAGGGGCTCCAAACTCGGGAGACGCCTGGCAAGCCCCGGGCAGACTCCACTTTCCAGCTCTGTCTGTGAGCTTTGGCCACATCTGCTTGTGAAATATCCCCCCTCTTCCTGTTCACTAACCCATGTGCTGCTCCAGAGGCCGCAGGCGCTGGCTGGCTCACTGAGGATTTGTCAGTTCGGCACAGCCAGCAGGAGGGGTCCCGAGTGGCATAGGGGACAGAACCCTGAACTAGGAGCCAGCCCGCCACACACACCCTGGTCTGTGCCCCAGCTCTGCTGCTCCTCAGCTGTGTGACCTCATGCACATCACTGGCCTCTCCCAGCCAGCTTCCCAGAAGCACAAGGAAGACAGCGTCCCCTATCAGGCCAACCAGGTGAAAACAAGCTCTTCCAGAACTGTGGCCTCAGCTCACTCAGTGAAGGCAAGTACATGGTGGGGTCATCCTGGATGGAGCTGTGGCCAAAACCATGGCAGGATTTCCTTTCATAACTGAAGCTAGAAAAACACGGTTTTAGAAAGAACACTTGATGCTGCATTCCCTGAGAATGGGATGCAGATGCAGAAAGGTCACTGCGATGGTATCGCAGTCGGTGGCCCCCAAATGCCCCTCCATGTTTGTCACCCCTTGAAGAGGTCCCCACCCTTTTTCTCTCACCACAGCCCCAGAGTATACAACACACACCACTGTCATTCATGATGCCTGATCACAGCAGGGACCTGAGAGGAGGGCTGGTTCTACCCCTCAGATCAGAGTATTCAGATGGAAAAAGTTCTGCACCCTCACCTGGAGAACCACTGGGTGGATCAGGGGAACAGAGATGGCCTGGGGGTCCACAGCTGGGGTTAAGGACAGACAGGGCAGGACATAGACAGCTGGAAGGGAGAGAGCCAAGGGTGCACGATGGCGGACAGACCAGACTTCTAGGACTGAAACCTCATCCCAGCCACCTGGTGTCATGAGTTCTGTTTCATTTCCCCCATCTGTAAAATGGAGGTAGCAACAGTATCTAACCCACAGAGACCACCTGAGAGCCTCTGGCATATAACGCATCCTCAATCAACCAAGATCAAACATGCATTTAAAAGACATTGTGGGGACTTCCCTGGTGGTGCAGTGGTTAAGAATCCGCCTGCCAATGCAGGGGACACGGGTTCGAGCCCTGGTCTAGGAAGATCCCACATGCCGCGGAGCAAATAAGCCCATGTGCCACAACTACTGAGCCTGCACTCTAGAGCCCATGAGCCACAACTACAGAGCCCGAGTGTCACAGCTACTGAAGCCCATGTGCCTAGAGCCTGTGCTCCACAAAAGCAGCCACCACAATGAGAAGCCCATGCACCGCAACGAACACTAGCCCCTGCTTGCCGCAACTAGAGAAAGCCCGCGCACAGCAACAAAGAACCAACACAGCCAAATAAATAAATAAATAAAATAAAATAAAATAAAAAATAAAAGACATTGTGGCAGAAGGTCAAGTTCAGCACTTTCCTGTTGCCCCACTCTATGAAAGGCCTCACACCCTAGCCTGCATCAAGGGAGCCAAAAGTGCTCCACCTGGCAGAAAGCCTCCTGGGAAGCAGGTCTGCCTGGTTCCCTCCTCACACCCCAGTGTGGGTCTAAGCCAGGACTCCGAGAAAAAGCATGCAGAGTAAGACCAGAAAAGCCCCCCTCCCAGGCGCCAGCCAGCAGACCCCTGCCTGGAAGGACACAGCACATACAGGTACCCAAGGAGAACATTTGACCCAGAGTGAGACCCACCTTGCTGCCCAACCAAAAGCAGGGAGCCAGTTGGAGCCCCCCAGGTTTTGCAGGGCAACTCAAGACACCACCAGGGGCTGCTGCAAAGTTCTGATGTGGGGAGTCATGGAATGAATAGTATAACTTTGCTCCCTCAACCAGAGCCACCCCCTGCCCCAACTCAGACCTGCGTGTGAGGCCTCCTGAAGCCCCCCCTGCTTTGCAGGGGCACACGGTTAGCCACCTCTGCCACTACCTCATCTCTGCTTCCACACCTGAAGAGCACTCCTACAGGGAGGGTTCATTCTCTTCATCTGAGCATCCCTAGTGATGGGCAGGTGGGGAGCCACGCCAAGACACTTTCTGAATTGCTGCTGGCCAGCTGGCAGGATACGTGGACAGATGGAAAAGGAGTTGGGGACATCAGTCACATCCATCCACCCAGGCAGGAGATGCTGGACCCGGAAACAGAGACACCCCGAGAAAGACATGTATGACTTGTGGCCTCACCCCTCAGAGTCCACTGACATAATGCGCAAAATCGGGACCCAGAAGTCAGACGGGATGACTCTCACTTCTCCACAGGTATAAACATGTTTTCTAAAGAACGTAATCACAAGAGCCCACAAATCCATTGGCTCTGGTCCCCAAGAGCCCACACTGCACTCTCCTCCACAAGTGCTGGCTTCCGTTCCTACCAAGGCCACCCCACAACCAGTCACCCCACTGTCCAGAGAAGCATCGCTGGACACTCCAGCCGAGTGTGGGCCAGGGTCCTGGCTACCAAGTGGACACTGGGGAGGAGGCAGAGCACTCCGTACAGATGGCAGAGGCAGCGAGAGGTGCAGCGTGCCCAGGCAGGAGCCTGACTGGGGAGCCTGCACACCGCTGTGCTCCCCTGCCTGCTGTACACACCCAGGTTTTAACAGCACCCACACAAGGAGCCCTGGCCACTTCTGCCTTCATAGGCCCCTTCCAACATTTTTTTAAAAAATCAAGAACCACACTTTCCAACTGCACCGGTATAAAAACTAATGTATTTATATGTGCATGTTAACAGTATTTCCTTCAACCTGAAAGTTTAGGGCTTTTTCCTGCTG